CAAGGAAACAAAAGCAAAAGTGGTTTTGGCTCTGCAAAATGCTGGAGAGGATGAACTACAGATTTATCAACTACTTTTTTGACATCTATCGATCTAGAGAAGTGGAAAATAAAGAGTTTTAGCAAGCTGAACAAATTAGTAAAAACCCTCTGAGTTGTTAATGATATAATTAAAAGAGTAATTAAAATAAATAAATAAATAAAACTAGTTAATAGTACAACTGAAGAGGAGTAAAACTAATTCAGGACTTTAACTGTTTTATTACCAAAAATAAAGGACAAAAGTAGTTCTTGCTGCAGGTAGTCTCTAAACACAGATCAAAGTTTCCTCAGCCACAGAAATCTTTGTTGATCGATGAAACCAAGTCATCAAAAAACAATGGAAACAAAAATCAATAAACATTTTTTTATATATGATGCAATAAATTATGGACCATGGGTTCATTATTTTTTAATTATAATTTTATTAATGCAGCAATTATTCCTGCACTCAAGATATTTGGCAAAGTAGCTAAACTATAAATTCTGACACTCTGACTATTACTAAAAAAAAAAATTATTTTTATTTTCATTTTTATTTTGTTTTATAGTGAAATACATTATTATAGACCAGAATCTAATTACTTTATTCTTGAATTATTTAACTTGTAAACACCAATACTAATAATTAAGTTTAATAGTACATGGTTTTTAATTATAGAGTAAAAGTTAAAATGCAATGTTGTAATTTAATTTATTTATAATTTGGGATTGCACGCTAAAAGAGATCATGGACCAAAATAACTCAAAAAGTAAAAAATTGATGTTGATGCAATTTGTGTAAAAAATGATGTTGATGCCTTGATGCTAAAGTGACCTTTAAAAATTATACAATCATGCCCAAACATCACAACCCTTATTCCTACACATGTCACAAAACCAAATGATACCAATAAAAAAAAAATTTAAAAAACGTTTTTTTGCACCACCCTAATATATATATATACATATATATATATATATATATATATATATATATATATATATATATATATATATATATACACTCAGTATTGGACAAAACATTTGCAACCAACATCGAACAATGCTAAAAAGTGTCATGCCATGACATGAGCAATAAGCTGACAGGTGACAGCACACAGACAGAATTTCGTTGACAAGTGCCATTTTGCAGCAGACAAAACAAGTGCAACTTTTTAAATTTGTTTCATTTTCTTAAGTCTGGTCTGTGTCATCGTCACGAAAGTTTTTTAATAATTAAAGGAAGTATCCAAAAGTTTCCAAAGGTTTCCAGAAGCATGTAGAAGCTTCCAGAAGTTTCCATAAGAAGCATCTAGAAGCATCCAGAAGTATCCAGAAACATTCAGAAGCATCCAGACGCATCCAGAAGCTTCCAGAAGCATCGAAAAGAAGCATCTAGAATCTTTCAAAACGGGTTCACACAGGTTCATTTTACTATATAAGAGACATGTAAACCGACATGTAATTCAGTCAGTATATGGAAGTCAATCAGTCAGTATTATCAAGAAAGTTTATCAAAGTGAGCTTTATCAAAGTGTTTTATTGAAGAACATCAATACAAGAAGTAAAATACAACAAGTGTTTCATTACATCAATACAGTCCACATCCAACCAAGATGTTGTGTTCCACAGAGCATTATTGTATCATCACAAGATAAATGTAACACAGTAAGCCGTGAGAAGCGTGATTATTTATTTATATTATTTTTATGACTTCAAGTGCAAAAATGGCTCCCGACAGTCTTGGATTGGAACTAAGAAAGAAAATCATTGGCGATTATGTAAGTGGAATGTCACAAAAAAGTATTTGTGCATGAAAAAATGGACCGTATTAAGACTATGTTCCAAATATCGTCCTACGGGGAAGTTGGAAGCAGATAACAAAGATGGAAGACCACGTTCCACCACGTCTAGAGAGTATTCTATGATTGTCAGATTCGTCGAGAAGGATCCCTGGATATCATCAGTTGAGATACAAAAGCAATTAGAGCTGCCTGTATCGGACCGAACAATCAGACAACGTGCTGTTGAAGCCGGATTGTTTTCTCGACACACTGCAAAAAACCTGCTGATTTCACTAAAGAACCAGAAGAAAAGACTCCTGTTTGCTACATCTCATATTGACTGGAATGTGCAGAACTGTCCTGTTCAGTGATGAATCGATGTTCAACATCCTTGGGAGCAATAGCATTTGCCATGTATGTCGACCAGCTGGAAAACGCCTCGATTTACATTACTACCATAAGACCGTGAAGCATGGTGGAGGCAATGTAATGGTCAGAGGGTGTTTTTCTCCTAATGGTCTAGGTCCAATACATTGAATCGATGGAATAATAGACCATTTTGTGTATAAAAATATCCTGAAAGATGTTATGTTAGCTCATGCTGAATGGAATATGCCAATAAAATGGGTTTTTCAGCAAGACAACAATCCGAAACACACTGCAAAAGTAGTCAAGCAGTGATTTCAAGACAACCAC